TGAATACTAATTATAAAAAGATCACCAACTTTTGTAAACCAAAAAATGTATCATAGAGAAGTTGGTATAAAATGGTTTAATAAAAACTCTCACTTTTCACTTCTCAAAAAAGAGTGTTAGTTGACTTTCCTGAGTGGCGGAGATTGTTGGCACACAGAATCAGTTGACTGCCGTAGTGAGCTGGAACCTATTTAGCTGGTGGTTATATTTGTGTGTGTGTGTGTGTGTGTATGTGTGTGTATGTGTGTGTGTGTGTGTGTGTGTCTGTGTGTGTGTGTGTGTGTGTGTGTGTGTGTGTGTGTGTGTGTGTGTGTGTGTGTGTGTGTGTGTGTGTGTGTGTGTGTGTGTGTGTGTGTGTGTGTGTGTGTGTGTGTGTGTGTGTGTGTGTGTGTGTGTGTGTGTGAGTGTGCGCACCAAAAGCAATGAGGGATTAGTATATCATTAAAATAATTATTTAACAATTCTTTAACAATTTACATTCCAAACAATTTTTTATTCAGAAAAAATGTCTACCTATATATACAAAAACAAAATATAAAATTAAAGTATACAAATAGTTTAATATGCAGAGTAATAAAAAAAATTCCCAGTAAAGTCACTTTCTCTTAATTTTTTCCACGTTAACTCCTACAGCTGCCTCGTCTTTCTTAATCACACTTGGTAAAAGACAGAGAAATTGTGCTTAAGGATGATTTGCAGGCCATTTCCGGTCTCATCCCTCATTTCATACGACTTATTCTCGGAAATTACTGCGCGAAAGATGTATATCCTTCGGAGTTTGTAAGCTCTGATTCATTGGGCATTATGTTCTCAAGCTACCGTTCTTCTGGAGCAGGGGAAGGGTGAGGGGTAAGGGTTCATGTTTATTGTGCTACTAAAAGATATCTTGCACATTTATGCCGTAATGTTGTTTGGCTGTTAATTGGTTATCACTCGGTCATTCACATTATTCAAGGGGACAGCACAACTAGGTGAGTACATTTACACACACACACAGGAGTGGATAGTGCTCCGGGGTAGTATACCTAAGGGCCCGGGTTCTATTCCCGGACTAGGTAAAGAGAAAGGGGAAGAGAGTCTTTCACCTGATGTGTGTGTGTATGTATACTCACTTAGTTGTGCTTGCGGGGGTTGAACTTTGACTCTTTGGTCAGGCCTCTCAACTGTCAATCACCTGGTGTACACATTCCTGAGCCTATTGGGCTCTATCATATCCACATTTGAAACTGTGTATGGAGTCAGCCTTCACCATATCTCTGCCTAATGCATTTCATTTACTAACTACTCTGACACTGAAAATGTTCTTTCTAATGTCTCGGTGGCTCATTTGGGTACTAGGTTTTGGGTACAAAATATTGCATCAGTAGCTTTGGAAAAAAAATTGAGTTGCAGTGAGATTTCCCAAACAGGAGGAAATTGCTGAAAAGGCGCTTTCTGGATGCAATAATATATTATATATATATATATATATATATATATATATATATATATATATATATATATATATATATATTTTAAGATGAATAGGCAAACCAAGGATATACTGAACATCTTGTATCAGAATCTTTACTTTAAAAAACATAACGTTTCGAATACTTCTCGTATTCATCATCAGATCTAAAAGAAAAAAACAGAAATCACAATCAAATAGCTGGTAAACAAAGAACTCATACTGAATATAATTGCCTATCAAAGAAAGGAAAATGCTTAAAAAACAAAACACTTAAGCGCACTTAAAGTGATCAATACAATAAAACTTATTAACTGTCACATATATTAAAAACTAATTTAAAATCCATTAAACTACAAGATGAAATTTATAACTACTAAAACAAACCATTCCATTAAACTTACGTGAAGTGATCAGAAGTGAAACTTGATACCTAACACATAGATACTAAACACTATAACAAATATTTATATAATGACTACAAATCTACAAAAAATGTATGTAAAATACAAGCAGAATAAACGATAATTATAAAGTACTAACCAAAATCTTATAAAAAACTCAAATATTAAATAAAATTAAATACCAAAAAATGTATTATATATCCTAAATAAAAGATTATATTAATGTACAATGTTAAGACTTGAAATAAGTAAGAAAGGGCAAAGACATGGTAAACTAAACAAAATTAAACTACCAAAATAAACTAAAAATCAATAAACTAATAATCCCCGGTGCTCAAGTATCCTAACTTGATACTTAGGTTATGTGTTATCTATGTGTTAGGTATCAAGTTTCACTTCTGATCACTTCACGTAAGTTTAATGGAATGGTTTGTTTTAGTAGTTATAAATTTCATCTTGTAGTTTAATGAATTTTAAATTAGTTTTTAATATATGTGACAGTTAATAAGTTTTATTGTATTGATCACTTTAAGTGCGCTTAAGTGTTTTGTTTTTTAAGCATTTTCCTTTCTTTGATAGACAATTATATTCAGTATGAGTTCTTTGTTTACCAGCTATTTGATTGTGATTTCTGTTTTTTCTTTTAGATCTGATGATGAATACGAGAAGTATTCGAAACGTTATGTTTTTAAAGTAAAGATTCTGATACAAGATGTTCAGTATATCCCTGGTTTTCCTATTCA